TATTCTAAGGCATGGAGAGTTTCGTTTGGGGGCTTGTATTCACATAGTTAAAGCCATTATTCTCTAGTGAGGATCGCAGAGAGAAAATTCCTTTCCTTTGGGGAATCATATCAGAACCAATTACAGCTAGTTTTCTTGGTAGTCTCCACTATCCTCTCCAGGAAGCGCTGTCTAAAGGACCTATTCGTTGATACTAATGGAGTATGTCTTGGGAGGGGAGAAGGTGTTTGGAGTCCTGAACCACCTGACAAACTGTAAACTGTTAAATGAAAAAGTAGATCCAGTCAGACCAGGATCAAACCACCAAAGGCCTTACAAGTCTGGATCACGTCCTGAAGGCAGTGAGTAAGTGATGTGGTCAGATTTGCGAAATTGGTCTCATACAAGTAAGAAAGATGAATCGAAGGGCCACACCTGGAGACTGTAGGAAGTCCTTAAGAGAAGTCCAGGCTGGAGATGCTAAGACTCTGAACTAAGGTACTCAGGGAAATGGAGAGGAGGCTCTAGCCAGTGGGGAGACCAAGTACTCCAGATGTTTTGGCGTTCTTATTTTCCTGATCTTATTTAACAGTTGCACACAACCATGTCATGACTGACTCCTGACTGCAGCGCTTACAAGATGCATCCTGATTTCAGAGAGATGAACATGTGAAAAGTCAAGTGTCATAGAACTGAGAAATAGTAGTTACACCATTCAACATCAGAATATTGACTCATTATTTTATAATAATTTTTTATTGGTTCATTTTATCCAGTTAATTCACAAAAAACCTTTGAGGTGCAGGCAAGTTCTGTTCAACAAACTGGATTGGACATTGGGAATTAAAGTAATACCTCTGGCTTGTAAGATCCTATAAGCAGGTAAGGGAGATAGATATGTAAACAGGTCATTTCAACACAATGTGAAAATGCCAGAATCAAGTCATGCACAGGATACTTTGGGATCACAGAGGAAAGATCCAGTCTAAGGGTTCTGTACCTTCTACAGCGTATGGAAAAACACTGTCTGACATGCACAGTGTTAAATGTAATTTGGCACAAAGCAAACATTTTTTTATTTGATAGATACTAGAAGATTTTCATTTCTGAGCATTGTCCTATGGTTATATCAGGAAAATAGTCATAAGTATTATCACAACTTTATTACTCTTAATAATTAAGTAGCCTCTGTTACGTGGAAGAAAGCCACACATCGAGAAAGACAAAAGCAAAACTAGCATTTTAACAAGAAAAGAACTGTCCTGATGTCTTGTACTTTGCTGTACAGTAGATCTCACTGACTAGAGAGAACTTTTGACTTAGTGTTTGTAAGCTGGTGTCCCCAGTGAACAGTGGAAACTTGGGGGACAAGGGACTATGCTGCTGTTAGCAGGACCACTAAAAAGTAAGCACTGATAGTAAGTGAATGCATGGCACAGTGTCTGCCCCCATTAGTGAGCAGACGGCTCGGTTAAGTCACTTGTTTTTACTGGGTGGTTCCATAGAGCCTCTGCCCATGGAACTCGTGATAGGTAAAACTGTCCTCATTAATATACTTTTCCGAGTTAGTGAACTAATCAGCCTTAGGTGTCCCCATAAACTTAAACAGCACACACATTTAAATGTACAGTTTTTAAACTATTGTTTTGAAAGAAACCTTTGTTGCATGTTGTATTTTTCATGGACAGTAAGATTTTACTATCTGTAAAGTATGTGAGACTTACTTTTCTCTTATTTCCAGGTATATCTTCTGTGTCTCTGGAGACTTTGTTAAAGTTTACAGTACAACTACAGAAGAATGTGTACACATCCTGCAAGGGCATAGAAATCTGGTGACAGGAATCCAACTCAACCCCAACAACCATCTACAGGTGTTAAACGATTTATAATTGCATAGTTTAATATTGGCTTTCTTGTTGCCAGAAAAATTTGAATTGAATTTGACTGGGAAGCCTTCCAGGTAATGATAAGGGAAAGAACTATGTTGATTTTCTGAATTAGCATATTTTTCACTTCTTTTTAATTATTAAACAGAATCATGGAATTATTAAACTAGGGTCACAGCCCACCACTACATTGTCTATGGTGTATTCTGTGAATCAGTTGTTACACAGAATGATAATAGCTGTTACTTGACTGCAGGGGTTTCTGGCTGTATGAGTTTCTGAAATTCTAGATTTGACACATAAGTGAATTTTTTTATTGTAGGTCTTCTGTTCCTGTGTATACATTGTGAATTTCTAAAAAGGGCATATAGTGTTTATCCTTCCTCAAATTTATGTGACATCTGAACTCTTATTTCTGGAACACATTTTTTAAAAAATGTTGACCAGAAGATACTGATTTTGTAGATCTGCTCCTTTAAAGAGGAGGCTTCTTAGTGTTAATGCAGATGTTACCTAACCTTAAGGCCAACATCTGGACCAAAAGAAGGGCTTCTTCAGTCCATGGATCAACCAGTTAATTTTAGGATATGCTTGGATCTCCCGTTCCCTCCATAAATCAGCTCTTCTCAGAATTCAAGAATAAGAAATGGTCATTTTAATTCTGTTCATAACTTCCAGCAAAGCTACTAAAGAGTTTTCTCACAAATAACTTTACCCTTGCTCTAGTTTTGATCAAGTTCTACTTTTCTAGATTAGTCACAGCCAACTTGAAAGTTATTGGTTGATTTAAAAATGTATTTGCTTTGTCATTCACTGCATTATCACAAGGGAAGGAGAACATAAATTCACATTGATCTTTTCTTCCCAAAACTAAATGAGCTACTCTTGAATTTTGAAGATCAGTTAAGTAGCTTTTCTGCAGGGTTCAAGCACATTTTATCCTTTGTGTCCTCTGAGAGTTTGAGAAAACAGTTTATGGTTATATATAGTATTTGAATGTTTGTTTGTTTTTGAAGCAGAAATAACCCTTTCATTAAAATTGGAATTTGTGAAGTCTGTATAACTAAGCTTTATAGCAAAATGAAAAACTATACACACATTGCATGAAAGATCTATTTCATGGAACTGAAACTTTAATAAAATTAGAGAAAGACAGCTTTAACAACGGGCTTGTTTGAGGTAAGATGGTAGGTGCCAGGGATTTTGTGGACTTTGGTGTCAAAGTATGTGTTTTGATGGTGATTATGTATTTGCCTTATTATATTTTAGTCTTCCATGTTTATGATTCTCAGGTTATACATACTAATTGTGATATGTTTTTAACTCAATATAAATCATTTACTTGAATAGATAACATTTTTTTTTTGTTTTTTATTTCTATAATTTCATGTCCTCATTGGTAGAAACCTTAATTGCCACTTTCATTTTTAAAAAAAGTTAAAATTCTTTATAAACATAAGCAAAGTCTTTTTATAATACCAGTAACAAAAAAATGTAGTGCCCACAGACCAGTGCCACAGGTGGCTGGTAACGGGTCTACAGCAGGACGAGGAGAGAAATTGAGTGTCCCCAAACTTCAGAGCATCCAAGTACATAATAACTTCTACTGTATTTTACAAAAGTATTGGTCCTTGATGGGTTGGAACCTTTAAAAAGACAGAACCAGACATTTTCAGATTTTTTGAAAAGCACTCTTTTAATTCCCATGTAAGGTAAAAGCCGTTCTGCTCATAAAAAAGGAAAATAGCAACAAACTCTTAGTGCTTTTCATATCAATACCTTCCATCTCCCTCTTGAGGACAGAGGGTTGGCTTTTCCCCCCTCACTTTAACCTTTAATTTTTTTTTAATTTACCGATCTTTAGAGAAAAGAAAGAAAAGAGAGAGAGAGAAACATTGGTTATATGCCCTGACCAGGGATTGAATCCTCAACCTTGGCACATTGGGATGATGCCCTCACCAGCCAAGCTACCAGGCCAGGACTTTAATTAAAACTCTAAATCAGTGGATCTGCTTTCTCCAAGGAGCTGTGATAAGATTGTCATAAACAATATAAATTTTGCAAAAATTATATAAATGACTCAATCTCACTAAGGTGAATAATGAATTAATGAACAAAATGCCTTCTGTATTAGCACTTAATTCATTTGATATCTTAATAAGTTCTGTTGTTTAATCAATTTTGTACTCTTTTTACCCTTTTAGCTGTATTCTTGTTCCTTTGATGGCACAATTAAACTGTGGGACTATATTGATGGCATTTTGATAAAGGTACGTGGGTTAATCTTCCATTTTTAGTATATAAAAAGGAATGGCAACATATTTTAGTGACAGATATGCCCACATAATTTTTTAAATGACAGATATATTACTCCCTTCTACACAGCCTAATCCTTAGAGCAATCCTAAACAAGTTATGAAATTCACACACCATAAAAGACAAATTTAAAGATTTTAAACTTCTAACAAAAATCTAGCAATAAAACTAGAAGAAACTTTACCAATAAATACGAAAAGATACTTAACCTTATTAATCAATAACTAAAGAAATGTAAATTAAAATAGATGACCCAGCATTTTTCAATTGCAAATTGAAAAAGTATTTAGTGATAGGTAAAGTGTAGAGAAACATACTTTTGAACACAATCAATGAGAATAAAACTGCACATGAACATCCTTGCTCCAACAGTCCCACTTTTAAGGATTTCTTGATGAAATAATGTCATACAGATGTAATTTGTAAAGCATTGTTTATAACTTTGATAGCAGTTAAAATTTGATATTTAGTCAATAAGATACTGTACAACCATTAAAAAGAAACAGCTGGATCTATATGTGTTAACTTAAAAGGTTATTTAACTTAACAAATACATACTGAGTATCTTCCACGTGCCAGGTACCCTTCTGATAACTGGGGGTACACCAGTGAGCAAAAAGGATAAAAATCCCACCCTTCATGGAACTTATGTTTTGGGGAAAGGAGGTAGGTAGATGAGGACAATTAACAGTTTGGTGCTTTTCATCTTTCAGACTTTCATAGTTGGACATAAACTTCATGCCTTCTTCACTCATGCCCATGCTGAGGATTCTGTCTTTGTTATAATAAAAAAAGAAAAACCAGGTATAGTGTAATTAATTTGTTTTGTTTTGTATAGCATTGAGTGGCTCTTTACATTTTATAGTTTACCATATCCCAGAATGCCGCTGCACGCCGTGTTGTCCTTCATGGAATAATGCTGTGTTCAGAATTCAAAGCAGCTTTGAGATGGTTGCTGGGCCGGCAGCTAGGTTGGCTCACAGGTCATTAGCTAAGAGAACCCTTTCCATGATTCTGTATGTATCGTGGGGGGGCGGCTGGCTCGTTTGGGGTGTTTTGGGGGGTGGGGGGTGGCTAGAACAAATTCACAAATAGTTATATGTCATATACTTTATCAAAATTTCACATTAAGGAACAAATAAACAGTTCAGTTTTTCTTATGTAGCTATAAAACCATCTCTAAAGGATATTCCAAAAAAATGTTCTAGAAATGGCAGTATTATAAATAATTAAGTTGCCTTCCCAAATGGCTACTTGAAAGATAATGCTCTTCAATATTTAGGTTCTGTTTTTTATATAAATACATGGATTCTTAATGTCTATCCTCATACTTATTAAAATTCAGATTCCTAGTTCCCTGACTGACAGCTAATTAATCCACTAGGTCTGAGATTTAGTATCTCCCCAGGTGGTTCTGCCTATCGCTCCTGTTTGGTAGCCACTCTTTATACTCCGCCCATGATTTCTCAATTGGAAGGGTATTCCTGGCATGTTTGAGGAATAGCAGGGAGGCTGGATTGAAGTGAGCCAAGGGAGAAGAGGTAATACAGAGCCTCGTAGGCCATTGGAAGGACTGGCTTTTACTCTGAGTAGGTAAAAAGCCTTTGAAGGGTTTTGAGCAGAAGGACATCCTCTGACTTAGTGGTAATAAAGTCAGTGTTTTCTGCATTGAGAATACTAAAGGAGGACAAAAATAGAAGTAGGGACAACTGTCATTTCTTCAAACACTTAAAATATGAAACATGATCATGGCTTTAGGTTAGGCGATAGTGGCCGAGGTGGTGAGATACGATTGTATTTGGGATATCTTTTAAAGATCCAGCCAAACAGGGTTTAATGTGGGATATGAGAGAGAAGTCAAAGATGATTCAAGGATTTAGTTTAAGCAACTAGGTATATGGTAGTGCTATTCCCTGCAGTGGGCACTGTAAGGGAAGGCGAATTTTAGAAAGGTAAAATCAAGAGTTCAAGGTTTGGGCCTGTCAAGTTTGAGAAGGCTAGAAGAACCAGAGTTCAGAGCATAGAATAAGGCTGGGAAACAGGAAGGTGGTAGATCAGTGTGTTGCCAAATTTTACATGCATTATAAAGTATAAGAGGATACAGCTGTTGCCCAGCAGGGAGAAATTTTTTTAAAGGGGATGTAAAGAGAAGAAGCATGCCAACACTACAGAAAAGGAGGTTTATTTGACAAATGTGTGACAAGCCCATAGCATTGCTAAAAACTCAAATGGTGTATTGCTTTTGGCTGTTAAGTTCACCAATCATACCACATTCCATCTCCATTTTAGAGTTCAGCTTAGTACTTTGGAACATAGAATGTACCAGTAAAACAAATTATTTTCTATTCTGTTTCTACATATATGGAGCATGTATGCGTATGAGTTGTGGAACTAGACTTTCATTTAAAATTTGTTTATTCAAAGGAAGAGCCTATCTTTGGGGTACATTTTGTTCAAGGTGGCGTAGAATTATCATCTTGGCATCATATGGATTCTAGAGTACTGGTTAACAGTTTCATGTGACTGAATGCACATCTTCACCTTGTCCAGAGAACTTGACATTAATATAGCTTCCTTTGGCTAGATGCATTTCAGCTGGTTTCAGTGAAACTGCCCAAATCAACAAGCCAGGAAGTAGAAGCTGAGGAGTGCTCCCTTGTTTTGGATTACATAAACCAGTCACCCAAGTGCACTGCCTTTGGAAACGAGGTAAAATGCCTTTTATTGGTTTTGGTTTTTGTACATAAAATCTCTTTCCTACAGTCTTCCTCCTGAACATTTTTTGTTACAAAGATTTAATATTGCCTTGAGTTACAGTATTTTTGTTAGTAACTGAGAGGTCTGTTTCTTTGCTTTAGCTTGTGTTCATGGTAACGATTTTTAAGACTATTCTAATTCTGTATAGTCTGTTTTCCTGCTCTTCTGAACTCTCTAATTGTCCAAAATACAATCAGTGTTTTTGGCATTTGCATTGATTTCTTACTGTGTCCCACATAAAAGCCACTTGAACCTTTCATTTTAGACTGTGTGTCTTTAGAAAATACGACCTCCCTGACAATAATATACCCATTGGGGAAAATTTGGAAATTACAGGCAAATATATGGAAATTAAATCTCACCAGTGATAATATATGACAAGTCTTTTTCTGAACTTTTGCCTAAACATACATAGAACTTTACCCAAATGGAATTAGTATCTATCCTTTTTTTTACTTAACATTATAGCATGAATGGTGCTTAAATGTTCACCAGACATAATGACTGTGTGGTGTTCATACTACAACTTATTTAGCCATCACCTGTTAATAATCCCTTTATTAAAATCAAGTACCAGCAAAAGGCCCTAGTGATGTTATTGCAGTGGCATGTTCTTTTAGTCTTAAGTTTTATAACATTTTGGCTTTGTTCTGAAAAGAGTTGATTTTTTAGAGTAGAGAAGACTCTAACATTATAAAGCGCAAGTTAAAATCACAGACACCATTTCACATTCACTAGAATAGCTAAAATTAACAGAATGACAGTACTGAGTGTTGACAAGATACAGAGCGAAGTTAAACAGACACCTTTATAGTGACCCAGTAGTCCCACCCCTTGGTAGAGGAATGACAACAGGACCACAAAGTGACATGTGGAACAATGATTAGTATTAATAGCCCGAAAATGGAAATAAGCAAATGTTCATCGAGAAGAGAATATATACAATATGTTCATTCATCGGAATGCTGCTTCATAATAAAAAGGAACTAATGATACACCTGCGGGTGTAGGTGAATCTCAGAAAAGTGATGTTGAGTTAAAGAGCTCAGACAAAACATTGATCGTACCATTCCGTTTGTGTGGCTTTCTAGAACAGGTAGAGAAGTAAATGGTTGTAGAAATGACTGGTTGCTGGCAAGGGTCAGGGCACTGAGCAGAAACTGGAAAGAGGAACAGGGGACATTCCAGAAGTGAAGGAACTGTTCTGAATCTTGATTGTAATGATGGTTTCATGGATATAGGCATATGTGAAAAGTTGCATTTTATTGTTTGTAAATTATGCCTTAATGGGAAAAAATTAAATCTGTTTTAATTTTTATTGAATTTACTGAGATGACATTGGTTAATGAAAGTATATAGGTTTCAGGCATCAGGTCTTGAATAAATCATCTGTATATTGTGCATTCACCACCCCAAGTCAAGTCTCCTGCCTTCACCATTTATCCCTTCTTTCCTCTGCCTGCCCCCCACCCACTCATCATACTGTTGTCTTTGTCTCTGAGGGGTTTTTTTTTCTTTGCTTAATCCCTTCACCTTTTTCATTCAACTCCCAACCCCATCCCCTCTGAGAGCTGTCAGTCTGTTCTCTGTATCTATGAGTCTGTTTCTATGTTTTGTCCATTAGATTTCACATATAAGTGAAATCATGGTACGTTTACATCTGAAGCTAGATAGCGTGGCTTTAGGATTTAGGACCTAAGTTGTTCTTTCAATTTTCTGTGATTATCTTTAAAGTAGGATTATTCTATCCATAGCTAAACTATAATATACTGTTTTATATTAACATAACTCTTAATCTGCAAAATACTATTTTTACTATACTAACTTTTGTGGCAGGAATATTTCTTCTTAAAAAGGTCTGACTGTTGTGGATGTTATCTATTTTGAACTACCAGGGAGAATATGTAGCTGCAGTGCGGGACTTTTACTTGTCTGTGTATTTTTTCAAAAAGAAAAAAACCTCAAGGTAAGGATTCCTTTTTGAAAGCTTTATTTACTTGCGAGCTTCTTTATATCATTCTCACACCTATAATCTAAAGCTATTACAAGTTTTATATTTACAAATCACTGAAATCATAAGATATAGAGGTACTTTTATTTTGAGGGGTGTGGGGGTTCTGGGGAGGTATTTGGTTGGTTGGCTTTTGTGGGGGGTTTGGTTTGGTTTTTGGTTTGGTTTTGGGGCCTGATACCTAGTAATATTTAGTAAACAGAACTATTAATTACAACACTATTTTGTGTTTAACTTTATAGGTTATGGTAGGCTTTGACATACATTTTTTATTTGATCTACCACATGGCCCATAAGACAAATGTTGCTTGTTTGCCACTTTTTAAATTTTTATTTTCAATTACAGTTGACATATATTAGTTTCAGGTGTTCAGCAAAGTGGTTAGACATTGATATAACTTACAGAGTCTGGTACCCACCTGACACCGCAGGTAGTTAACTGCAGTGTCATCGACTAGTCCCTGTGCTGTATTTCACCCTGTTTCATAACCGCCAGTGGGTACTTCTGATCCGGTCAGTTCTTCGCCCAGACATGTGACCCCCCACCCACCCACCCGGCAACCATCAGTTTGCTTCTCCGTATAAGTTTGTCTTTGTTTCATTTGTTCATTTATATTGTTTTTTAGATTCCAGTTTTTAACCCACAGTGGATGGAGTTGAGAGATCTTTAGTCTCAAAAACCTTGGGAGCTTTTCTAGCCAAAAATCTTTCTACACCAAGACTCTGGTGTGCACATTTGTGTCAGAATTGGATTTGGTTTGAAAAGGCGTCTGGAGATAATCCTCACTGCCATATTACAGATACAGAAATGAATGGAAGCTTTGGGACACCTGGGTTTAAAGCAAGTCAGAATTATCCGTATGAATTTCACTGTACCTCAAATTAACGTATTTTAAATGAGGATAATATCTTAAAAGAGTTGTAAAGATGAAGGAGACAGCATACTGTAACAGACTAGCACTAAGTACTAGTGGTCACCCTTCAGATGACACTGTACCCTTTTCCCCGTTACCATGTCAGTATTAGCATTTGGTTTTCTTTGCAGGATAATGAGGATCCTCTTTAGACATACTAGCCACTTACCTTGGGTATAATTTCTTAGGCCTGTGCATATCAGGTGCTAAAACTTCAAGATGCTGAACAAACTTTGTCCAGGCAAAAAGCCACTAAAAAAACCATCTTCATCAACATCAGTGGCCTCTGTAAACAAGTTATAATGGTACAGTGTCAGTCACATGAAGTATACATTATATATTAATTTTTACAAAACTATTGACCACAGTTTTTAAAATGATGCATTTATATTCAGTGAATTCTGAGGGGTCCCTCGTTTTCATTAAGGGTGAGAAATTCCTTTTACTTAACTGCATCACCACTTACCAAGTCTTTAATAATCAAGAAAATTTAATTTTCTTTTAGATTTACCTTGTCATCATCAAGAAATAGGAAACACGCGAAGAACAATTTTACATGTGTAGCATGTCACCCAAAGGAAGATTGCATAGCAACTGGTCACAAGGACGGCAAGATTCGCCTTTGGTCAGTTAACTCAGGAGGAGCATGGTGGTGATTTCTGTACTGGGTTATATTAGTGCTGCAGAACAGAGAGCTGTCTCTGGGTCCAGGATGAAGGGTAGCACTGAAAAGCCACTGCTTACGATAGAGATTAGGCTTTACTGGCATCCTCCCTGTCTCGTATCACAGTGTCTTCATTGAATAGGCTTACTGTTTTAGGGGCAGTGAAAATTTCTATTTTGCCTATAGTCGTTTTATTGAAGCGAACTCTTCTTGTCAGCATTTAAGTAAAAAGGAAAGAGGGACAATAAGGAATATCTACGTAACAGGACACAAAGGTGGCCTGTTGTTTGTATCAGTTTGGCCAAAAAGTTCATTTGGTTTTTTCAGTGAGATGGCTATAGTAGCACTTAGTTGTCTTTAACTTCATTTGAAACGATTTAGTTAGATTGTATTGTGACAGCTGTCATATCAACGTACATTAAAAAAACCGAGAATGGGTGAGTTTTTGTGTCGCTATCTTGAAGATGGAAGAAACTATGCAACATTTTTGGCATATAATGGCATATAATGCTTTATTATTTTAAGAAAGGTAAAAATGCAATTGCAATGCAAAAAAAAAAGATTTATGCAGTGTATGGAGAAGGTGCTGTGATTGATCAAATGTGTCAAAAGTGGTTTGTGAAGTTTCATGCTGGAGATTTCTCATTGGACAGTACTCCACGGTCAGATAGACCAGTTGAAATAGAAAGCGATCAAATCAAAACGTTAATTGGGAATAATCAGCATTATACTACACAGGAGATAGCCAACATACTCAAAATACCCAAATCCATAATACCCAAATCCATACAGTTATCAGTAAAAATTTAAATGTCTTTATTTTACAGAAAAAAAAAATAAATGGACTTTTTGGCCAACCCAATAGAAAGTGATTTCAGTTAGAAATAGAAAACGTACTCTTTGTACATTAAGACCCATAAGCTTGCTATTACAATTTATTATTTGGGGCATATATGAGGGCAGACCCAAAAAACTGGAATTTATTTACAAAGATTTATGTATGCTTAAAATGTTTAAACTTAAGTCACCTTCAAAGAACTCACCATTTGATGAAATACACCTATTGAGATTTTTTCCACTGTTCAAAAACAGTTTTTGAACTTGTCGGTTTTGATGCCCCTTAGTGCTCCTGCTGTTTTCTGTTCTACCTCTTCCACATCAGCAAAATGTTTCCCTTGTAGAACTTTTTCATCCAGGGGGTAAAAAAAAAAGTTGCTCAAGGTGAGATTAGGTGAATTGGGAGGGTGGGCACAGAGGTGATGCCATTTTTAAAAGGTTAAAAACTGCTGAACACTCTGTGGCATGGGCAGGTACGCTCACAAATCAGTCTTCATGAAATGGGCAAATGAATTGAAAATGTCTTTAAAAAAAAAAATTCACTAAACCAAATGCAGCCTGTCACAACACCAGCTGGCAAAGACGGGTTCCTAGAACACCCACCTAGCAGAGGGACCCTGTACTACAAGGGGTCTGTCCTCCAGAAGATAATCCCAGTTTCGAGTAGGAGGAACTCCCCTTGTATGTTCATTATACTTGGCATGCCATTATTTTTCTGACTTAAGCCTTTGATGAAATTAAAAATACTGGTTTTCTCCAACAGGAGAAATTTTGATGATGATAAGAAATACACATACACATGTCTGCATTGGCACCATGATATGGTTATGGATCTGGCTTTTTCAGTGACAGGTAAGTATAAGTTTAATAATTAAAATGAATTTTTGAAGCATGTGAATTAAGTATCTTAGCTTACTTATAATTTGAAATATCTAGAATTGCATGGGCCAAATGACTTGTAAATTTTGTATGTCACCCTATGTTTTGGAAATTGCTCGGCACAGTACCATATACTTCAACTTTCAAAGCCCTTCAGAGTAGCAAAGTGTACAGCTGTGGTAAAGTCTCATCTGTGACCCTATGAAACAGGTTATCATCATCCTCATTTCACAGGTGAAAGAAAAGTTTGTAACTGAGAACTAACTTGCCTAAGGTCACGTGCCTGGTAGTTGGATTTGGATGTAGGTCTAATCCAAAGGCTTGTTTAAACTGTTTAAATTGCCTCATCCACATTCACTATTTTGAATTAATTCAGACCTTTGTTCCATTTAACCTGCATGAGAGCACTACAAATACCTCCTTAAAAATAGTATGAAATTCAACAGAAGTTTGGAGAAGTGCACTGTGCCTTTGGTTACTTTCAGCATCCTTACACCTATGTGGTAAAAGTTAGATCAGCATTTTTTTTACTGGTCCTCTAAAAAGAACTGTAATAGAGCAACAAAAATAAAGAGAATAAAAAGAGAGCTAGATGCTGTAGTAGATTGTGTATCTGGAGAAAGTGATTTTTCTTTCTGCAAGTCTTCTAGAGAATGCCAGGACAAGTCTTAATCACATGTCCTAGATTCTTACAGGGTTACTTGGGTTTAACTCTGGAGCTCCAGGAAGTAGGGAGGTATCTTTAGCCTATCTGTACTTTTGCTTTGGGGAGCAGTGACCACTATGGAGGCAGGACCCAACCTAACGCCTAGAGTAGTACATCAGGAGTACAGTTGTGATGTGTGAGAACTTAGAATAAAAAGAGAATGGAAAGGATATTAACTCTACAATTAAAGACCTTACCTTCCCCGCCCTCCTGCCACCGCTCCAGAAGTACATCCGAGTGTGTGTGTGGCCTGCATGTGTTACCCTTCTCCGTCTCCTCTCACACCAGTTGGCAGGCACAGCCTTCTGTGGCAGCCTTAGCCCTGAGACATTCAGGACTGGCCTTTTCAGGTGGCGTTAGAGAAGAGGAAATAAACAGATTATTTGGCACTTAAAGGAAAAGAAGGAATACAAAATGCTTCTACCCTAAGCCAAGGCTTTTGTATAGGAGCTACTGCAGATAATCTTGGCTGTTAGACAGTTGAATTCTTGCGTTTATAATTTAAGTGTGAGTATTTATAAATGAGAAGTAGTGGTTGCATATAGTACATAGCTGTCAGTAAGATGTCAGTATTGACCTTCTATAGGTATAAATTAATAGAAGAAGAAAAAATAGCTCTCTCTATAAAAAGAACTATAAATTATGGCTGTTTTGAAAACCTTTATAAGTTAAGGCAAATAGGAACAATATAAATCGTCTCAACTATGCTTTGAACCCAGTCATGCTGTGTGTGAACATTTCAGTAATTGTTGCTTTTTTCTAATCCTTAAGCCTTTCTTAGGACCTCAGATAATGTTGACTGAAGTGCTAATAGTGTTCCCAACCACTGGGGGGAAGTTTTCAGTATTTTATCCCTTAAAACGACATGTATCCTTAATGAAAATACTAAAGTCCCATCAAATATTACAGTCTCACATTCCTCACATTATATAGTTGGATTCAGCTTGCTAATGGTACTGTTGGGGAATTTTCATCAGTCATGACATGAAATGGGCTTGGAATTTTTTTATGATGTACTTGTTTTGCTGTGGGATTATGCTGGTCTTAGGAAACAAATTGGGAAGTGTTCCCCTTTTGTTACTTGGAAGAGTGAAAGTTGGTTTATTTCTTCCTTAAATATTTGGAAAAACTCAGCAGCAAAGCCCTCTGGGCCTAGAAGATGTTTGTTTCCTTGGGTTTTTCTTGTTATCGGAGGAAGAGTTGATTACCAGCAAACTAATCAGCTATTATTGGAAAAGAAAATCCCTGAATAAAGTGATCTTTAAATCTTTGTTTGGAGGGGATTAAAAGATATTAACACACTTCTTTGCATATTTTTAAAAAATAGTTTATTTCTCTAACAGGGTTAGAAAATTTTAAATGCCGATTACTTTTTCTATTTTTTTTTTTTTCCTCCTGAAACACTCCTTTCATTTCTGGGGATGGGAAGGCACCAGCCTGCTGAGCGGTGGCCGAGAGTCCGTGCTCGTGGAGTGGCGCGACGCAGCCGAGAAGAACAAGGAGTTCCTTCCCCGTTTAGGAGCCACTATCGAACACATCTCGGTCTCCCCGGCCGGTGATTTATTCTGTACCTCTCACTCCGATAACAGTGAGTGACTTGTTACTGGGAGGAAATACAGTTGGTGCAATGCCTCAGTTACTTAGCATCTGTAAGAAACGGCAAATACAAGACCTCAAACTCAAAGGAGCATCAGATTTAATAAGCATTTTTTCTTCTGTTCCTCTCCTTAGTATCGCTCCTTTCTGCCCCAGGATGCCCCCAGAATGTAGTATTCTCAGAACTGTTATGAAAGTGTAGGGCTTAAGTATATTTGAGTATTGTCATGCCACTTATATTTCAGAACCTTTTCATGTGGAATGATGTGGAGAAGTAAGGGAAGGGTTTTGAAGTAGGGGTTTGTGCTTTCATAGATACAGTGGCATTTCCAAAGGAACACTGAGATTCTCCTTTGAAATAGCCATTGTATCAGTGTGGGAGTTCAGTGGATTCTGAGAGGAACGGAGGCCGTCTTGTATTCCTCCAGAACCTTTGCTCGTCCTGTTAACTGTCCAGCCTGGATGTAGATCCCCTAGCTTATTGCCTCCTTTCCCTTCAAAACAGAACATAACTGTGAGCAATCCATTAGTGCAGTGACTCATTTCAAAGTAAATTATCAGTCTCTTCCAGGATATTTAAGTTTCTGGATTAATACTTAAAAGGTATCCAAAAGCACAACTGAGAAAACTGAGAGTCTCTGACGGAAACTCCCCACCAAATATATTCTTGATTTTTTTTTTTTTTTAGTAACACTCTAACTAAATTGAACATACTCAGTTGTTTTTGTATTCTGATATATTGCAGAATAATATAAATTAATTTTTTCTAACTATTTTCTAAATACTTTTTTTTCCCCACAGAGATAATTGTCATTCACCGAAACCTTGAGGCATCAGCAGTAATTCAAGGCCTAGTGAAAGGTATTGAACGCAGTGGGTTTGGGATTGTGCACATTTTAAAAGTGATTATTTGTCTGGTTTCAACTGTTGTTTGTCACTTTTTGCAGATAGCAGTGTCTTGACTGGTTTGATGATTGATCCAAGAACTAAAGCTTTAGTTTTGAATGGAAAGCCTGGCCACTTGCAGTTTTATTCTCTCCAGAGTGATAAGCAGTTATATAATGTAAGATTTTGATCTATTGACTATCTTTAAAACCAATGAAAATCCTTTACAGCACCACCAAGGCCTGTAACTTACTTAGTAGCTGCTAACACATGTCCTGTGCCTGTGTTTACTTCAGCACAGTCAGTCCAGTCCACTGTTTTCTCCATCACGGCTGCCAGTGGAATCTACATGTGAGCCCGTTGATAATCTCGTGCAGCCTCTGTCTGTTTTATTTTGTTTTAGACTACACTCTAATTAACCGTCACACATATCTGTGCCTTTGAGTCACAAAGGCAGGAAATGAGAGTATGTAGCTTGGTGATACAAATATGCCTCTGCTTTGTGGTGGAAAGTGTCATATGTGCATACCAAAGATAACATTTTTTTTAATATTAAATTTTATTTAGTTACTTTTCAAGTACATTTTTTTTAATCTATTTCTCCCATCCCACCCCACCCCCCGCCTGGTCTCCCCCCTCCCTCCCATTTCCCCCCGCCCAGTCCTCATCTCTGTGTCTTTCATACTTGTTCCTCAAAATCCCTCCCCCTTTTTCCCCTTAAGTTCCCTTCCCTCTCCCCTCTGGTCGCTGCCCACTTGTTCTCTATTTCAGTGTCTTTGTTTTTATTCTGTTTGCTTGTTTGTTTTATTCTTTAGCTTCCTGTCAAAGGTGAGATCATATGGTATTTGTCCTTCAATGCCTGGCCTATGTCACTCAGCATAATGCTTTCCAGTTCCATCCATGTTGTTGCAAAAGGTAGTAGCTCCTTCTTTCTCTCTGCTGCATAGAATTCCATTGTGTATATGTACCACAATTTTTTGATCCATTCGTTTACTGATGGGCACCTAGGTTGCTTCCAACTCTTGGCTATTGTAAATTGTGCTGCTATGAACATTGTGGTGCATAGGTTCTTTGAAATTGATGTTTTAGGATTCTTGGGGTATAATCCTAGCAGTGGAATTGCTGGGTCAAAAGGCAGGTCAATTTTTATTTTTCTGAGAAAATTCCATACTGTTTTCCATAATGGTTGTACCAGTCTACAATCCCACCAACAGTGAACTAAGGTCCCCTTTTCCCCACACCCTCTCCAACATTTGTTGTTTGTTGCTTTGTCTATTATAGCCATCCTGACTGGTGTAAAGTGGTATCTCATTGTGGTTTTAATTTGCATCTCTCTGATAGCTAACGATATTGAGCATCTCTTCATGTGTCTCTGGATATTCTGTATATCCTCTTTAGAGAAGTGTCTGTTCAAGTCCTTTTCCCATTTTTTAATTGGGTTCGATGTCTTCCTAGAGTGGAGTCGTGTAAGTTCTTCGTATATTTTGGAGATTAAACCTTTGTCTGAGGTATCATTGGCAAATATGTTTTCCCATACAGTTGGTTGTCTTTTTAATTTAATACTGTTTCCTTTAGCCATGCAGAAGCTTTTTATTTTGATGAGATCCCATTTGTTTATTCTTTCCTTTATATTCCTTGCTCTAGGGGACATATCCGTAAAAATGTTGCTGCATGGAATATCTGAGATTTTCTTGCCAATGTTCTCCTCTAGGACTTTAATGGTGTCACGGCTTATATTTAAGTTTTTTATCCACCTTGAATTTATTTTGGTGTATGGTGTAAGTTGGTGCTCAAGTTTCATTTTTTTGCACGTAGCTGTCCAGTTCTCCCAACACCATTTGCTGAAGAGGCTATCTTTACTCCATTTTATGTTACTGCCCCCTTTGTCGAATATTAATTGACTGTAGAGGGTTGGGTTGATTTCTGGGCTCTGTTCTGTTCCATTGGTCTATGTGCCTGTTTTTATGCCAGTACCAGGCTGTTTTGATTACAGTGGCTTTGTAATACAGTTTGATATCAGGTATTGTGATCCCTCCTACTTTGTTCTTCTTTCTCAAAAGAGCAGCTGCTATTCGGGCTCATTTATGATTCCATATAAATTTTTGAAGTGTTTGTTCTATGTCTGTGAAATACGCTATTGATACTTTAATAGGTATTGCATTGAATCTGTATATTTATTGCTTTGGGTAGTATGGACATTTTGATGATGTTAATTCTTCCAATCCATGAACAAGGTATATGTTTCCATTTGTTTGTGTCTTCCCTGATTTCTTTCTTCAGTGCTGTGTAGTTTTCTGCATATAGGTCTTTTACCTCTTTGGTTAGGTTTATTCCCAGATATTTTATTTTTCTTTTTGCTATATCGAATGGGATTTTTTCCTTGATTTCTGCTTCTGCTGATTCATTGTTTGTATACAAAAATGCCTTTGATTTCTGGATATTGACTTTGTATCCTGCTGTTTTGCCAAATTCATTAATTAGTTTGAGCAGTTTTTGGGTAGAGTCTATAGGATTTTCCATGTACACTATCATGTCATCTGCAAACAATGACAGTTTTGTTTCCTCCTTTCCTATTTGGATGCCTTTTATTTCCTTTTCCTGCCTGATCGCTGTGGCCAAAACTTCTAATCAAAGATAACATTTTCAGTGTAATTAAAGAGGATAGCTTCCTTTAATCCTGATAAATGCAACCCTGGCTTCGCACTTTTTTCCTTTGCCCCCTCAGTACCCTTCACAGGTTCCTATCATAGAAGCTGTAACACTTGCTCTCAGTCTTTCCCCCACTTTTAAAACCCTCGGAGAACGGAAACTTACTTTATTTTTGCACATTTCTACTGCAGTGCTTGGAAATGGTAGGCATTTAACACGTTTAGTAAAATAGGCAACGAGATGGAATAAAAGAAACAAGCCTAAATAAAATGCCTGCCTACTTACATTGTTACTTTTTTTTGCTTCTTAACAATTACGATTTAATTTTTGCTCATGTTTCTAGTAATATAAAATCTAGCGTTGAGATTTTATATAAAGCTATCTGTTCTTAGAAACAAGTAAAAAGTATTATTATAAGCTAAAGATTCTGTTGTATCATATAAATGAGTCATGCTCATCACTAATATTTGCTGACATTGAAGAATTGTCACTGAACTGTGTAGTGCCAGTTCAGTGGTGACAAATTCGATGACTATAACTATTGGTTTGTTTCTCCCTTTATTAAAAGTCAGTTACTATAGATTCTAGAAGTTGTATATCAGGTGGTTAATTACCATTTCTTGAATGCTTTAACATTTATGTATTTACATTAATAAACATTTTGGATTTTTTTTAACCCATCAGTTAGATATTGTGCAGCAAGAATATATCAATGATTATGGTCTGATCCAAATTGAGCTTACAAAGGCTGCATTTGGCTGCCATGGTAACTGGCTTGCAACAGTGGAACAACGTCAAGAAAAGAAAACTGAGCTTGAATTACAAATGAAACTGTGGACATACAATAAGAAAACACAAGGGTAATGCTACTTATATGGCCATAGCATTTTAAAACAGAAAATATTTTCCTTTCTGTTCATGGTTTGAGATCTTAATCTTTAGATATTTTATTGTGAAAAGTTTTAGATTGAGATTAAACAAAGGGGGTATTCCAAATCCTTCAAGCTTTTGGCTCCGAGAAAGCACAGATGTCCAAGTTACAATGTCATCATATTGCATAAATGAGGAAACAAGGGAAAGTGAGACCCCCAAGGACATAATACCTAACTCCAGGCAAGTCTAGGATTAGAATCTCAATGTCTTAGTTCTTAATATTATACTCCCCCCCCAAAAAAATTATGCCACCTTCTTTAGAGAAGTGGCAGTGGTAGACGAGAATAGACAAGAACGGTGTAGTGTGGTATGTGTGTTTTGATCAGATCAGGAGCCCACCGGTTTCTCATGCCACGGCTGTCATAGCTATTTATCAAGTCCTCGCTGTGTGCCAAGAACTAGGCTTTGGCCTTTTGTAGCCACTGTCCTAGTAATCTTCACAAGAACACTGTAAGATAAGCCTGTTGTCCATGTTTTCACAGGTGAGGAAACAGGCCCAGAGGGATGAAGTAACTGTCTCTAGTCACCACTCTTGTAACCTGAACTTTTAAAAAACACATTATTTTGCCCTGATGTTCACAGTGCTAGCATAGTTTACAGCCATGTCTGGAAACAAGCTTTGAAAGGTAGTTTGGGTCATTAAAAACATTAAATATTGACCAGGAAAGTTTGATTAGGTAGTTTGCTTTCTGTATTTTCTTGCCACAAGTAGGGTCTTTTATAGTCATTCTATGCTTTGCTTATTTTCAAAAGTAGCTAGTGGGGCACCTGTGTTCTATACAGTTTCCCTGTAGAGTTCAGTACAGTAGGATTTTAAGTATTATTTTTTGATGGCCCCTATTGTATACTTATTTTGTACCATTAAGTTGACATTATACATAATCATCTCTGTTGTGTAAGTTACACAGATAATATGTTAGGACTGTGGTCTACACGTAGCTGTTAAGAGAGAGCACTCAACTGTTTGTCATTCTAAGTGATAATGTATCTGTTGTCTGTTTTTAAAAATGCTGTTGTAAAAGGTACAATATGCAAGAAATTGTCATATGACAGTAAATCATGGTCTGGTATGAGAGTAAATTGGTGGTTTCCTTCCTGCTAGGTTTGTTCTTAATACAAAGGTTAACATGCCACATGAAGACCACATCACAGCTCTGTGTTTCTGCAATGCAGAAAAATCTGAAAACCCCACCTTGGTTACAGCTAGTAAAGATGGTCACTTCAAAGTATGGATATTAACAGATGATTCTGATATATACAGTAAGTTAAATACAGTCTGCCTAAGGAGCACCTAATTTTAAGAAGTGATATATTTATCTCCCATGAATTTATACTCATCCTGGGAGGGCATTTTCTACCTTGCTTAAGTCTGTAGGATACTGCCTAATTTTAAAAGATGCAAGTTACTATTTTGTTACATACCTTTTCTCTAAATGTATACTTTTGTTTTATTAATTGCATGATTAATCACGTGCTAATGATTCTAGTCCAGTTTGTGAGGATACAATAAAAGGGGCTTTTGCATTTAGTTTTTCACTATTCCACTAGAGGGAGCTCAAGGTCTCCAGGAAAGGGGCATAACTTTCAAATCGTTCAATGATTTATAGCACTTCTAACTACAGTTTTGGGGAACAGGCTTTCTGTTGTGTTTATTTCTCTCTCCTTATTGCTTATAACTTCCCTAAAATGTTATCTAGCATTTATACCATTTCTGAACTCTATGGTCTGCATTTCCACAGGAAAAGCTACTGGCTGGACCTGTGACTTTGTGGGTAGTTATCACAAATACCAAGCAACTAACTGTTGTTTCTCTGAAGATGGCTCTTTACTGGCCGTTAGTTTTGAGGAAATTGTTACAATATGGGATTCAGAGACATGGGAACTTAAATGTACGTTTTGTCAACGAGCCGGGAATATAAGGTAGGTCAATAATTTGGAAATATGAAATACAACTTTTTAAAATTTAAACAAGTTTTTTTACATAAACTTTAGTAATAATTTATGCTTTCTCTAAAATTAGCCTTGGATCAGTCAGGCCAGCAGCTAACCAGAGCGGAAAACTAAAAATTTTTTGCATATGAACCATGTGCAGTGATGTTTCCATTTCTGAAATCAGGATTGACATTTAATTGCTGGCCTACAGATTCCTTTTCTTTGTACTAATACTTTTCATGGTTGTGCTGCATGACAACAGAAGCCTCCCTGGATCCAAACAGTGCTTATCTCAGCAGTAGCTTCCATTGCACTTCATGCAACAGCAATTGAGGGCAGCAGGGAGACGGCTAACATAATTGTTCCTGATTCCCAGCATGTCTGATTCTGAATTTACTTCGTAAAACTTCCTTCAGAATTCATACTGTAAACTGTCCTCTTTAGGTGAATGTGCATAAAAAGGGTTTTTTTAAATCACTGTACATTTTGCATACCCTTTCTGTATGTCTTAACTATTACACCACACAGCTTATTAGAGAAAAGAACTGGTCATCAAACCTGTTTTTCCAAAGAAACAGTATATCTAAATAAGCCTTTTTCTTTTGTACTCCTTAGTCCCTTTTTCTGCAAGATAACTGTGAACAAAAACATATGTGCGTATCTAAAACTCTAGTTTGCATGAAGTCAGTACTGTGCAGGAAGTCTGATAGAACTGGCTCATTAACTCCCCTGTGGTTTTTCCACCTAGGCACCTTTGCTTTGGGAGACTGACTTGTTCAAAGTACCTTCTTGGTGCTACTGAAAATGGAATTCTTTGCTGTTGGAATCTGCTCAGTTGTGCATGTAAGGTATTTTTTACCATAAAGCGACTTGGCAAAGCAAGATGGAATTAAAGTTAGGCATTTTAGGACTTTTGGATTATATCTTCATGTCTCTACCCAGAGAATATATAATTTTTTTAATGGTATACCACTAAAATTTGGACCTGTACATTATTTGTAAATGGCCTTAGGTCAGTAAATAGAATTGATTCTCACCTTTTTCCAATGTCTTCAGTGTGTATGACTTTCTGTTGTCCTCCATATTCTCCATCCTCCTAACAGTTTGAGGATTGTGTCTGCTAATTTGTAATGCACATCAACCTGCAGTATCCCTGACCACTTTAAATTTAAACACAGCCCACCACAACCCTCCTAACAGACGTGGACTTAGTGTCATTTTACTCATTCGAATACGTGTTTGGAAGGCGTAGTGGTTGCTTAGTAATGAATGTGTGCGATGACATTTCTTTATATTCTTTACGGTGTCCATTGCCAACATGTTGCCCATGTTTAGTAGCAGAAAAGCACCTGACAGTAGTTGCATGGAATGATAACCATTTTGTAGTGTGTAGAAGGAGTACATTGTTCTGTTTCCTGCCCTCTTTTTTTTTTTTTACTGCAGCCTTCCATAGACAATTCCGGTCTGTCCGCATGTGCATTTGGAAGTGTAAAGTCCCTTTTCCTAAAGACAATAGAATTGATTGTTCCAATGAAGATTAAGATTACGTACTTTAAATAACAAGCTTTGAAAAGCTTTTGGTAAATCTCTCAGAAGTCAATCACTGTTTCTTTCTTCCCCAGTGGAGTGGAGTGCAAAATTAAATATTCGCGTCATGGAACCTGATCCCAATTCAGAGAATGTTGCTGCAGTCTCCAAGTCTTCAGTGGGTTCAGACTGTAAGTACAGATCATATTTGGATCATAAGAAATCTGTTACCTGAATTTTCTTTTTTAACATGTTCTATAATTTGAGTCAAACTTACCTTCACATCAGGTGTTTAAAGCCATTTTGCCTGAGGCACTGCCCTTTCTTGAGTTCTTAATCCAGCACTTTGTTACTTAAGCATTCATGCTCAGTCCTAGGAGTTTCAGCACATTCCTCATTTTTCAACATGCCAGTTCCTACTTAACCATCAAAATCCAAAAGATTTCACCTCTTTGAAGTATCCCACATTTCTCTGTAAAGCTTTAATCGTTCCTCCTGTGTTCTAGAAGCGCTTGCTGCATATTTCTGCTCTAGTACATAAGACAAAATATTGTTTTGATATTTTGGTGCCCTGTCTTCTGCATTATGCTTTGGTCTCTAGAGCTAGGATTTCTTTCTCTTTTTATCTTAATAGCCCTTGCTCCTAACCTGCTTGGCACGTAGTAGGTGCCCAATAGGTACTTGTTGAATTAAAGCTTAAAATAATCATGACCTGGTTTATTTACTCAGTGGGGTAAATCCCAGGATTAGTGTGGTTTGCTAATATGAAGTTAGAACTAACCTTTGCATGCAAAATGTTATTGTCTATTTGTTTTTCCCTGTAGTGTTTGTATTTAAACCTAGTGAGCCAAGGCCTTTGTATATTCAAAAGAATATCTGTAGAGAGGAAGTCCAGTGGGGAGTGTTTGTTCCTCGAGATGTCCCTGAATCATTCACCTCAGAAGCTTACCAGTGGCTGAACAGATCACAATTTTACTTCCTAACAAAATCACAGGTAACCATCTTTCTTCAAATAAGGCCGTCACTTTGTATCGTATGTGTAACTGTCAATTGCTTCGATATTTGAGAGTAATAGCCCATGGAAGCTGCAGTAGTTTTATTGAAGGGTCACTTCTCAGAAGAAACTGACATGTTCCATGCCAGCAGCAGCAGCACTGGTGTGTGTGTGTCTGAGCACTGCTTTAATCACCCTCACCTTTGAGGCTCGTTCAGTAGATGTTTATAGAGCAAAACAAAAAGCTGACCTCATTTCCTAACTTTAACATCTTACTTAGGTTTGTGCTGTGCAGTTTATCTCTTGCAGCATTAATCGATCTCTTTTTTCAGAGTTTATTGACATTCAGCACAAAGTCTCCCGAAGAGAAACTCACACCGACAAGCAAACAGGTATGTTTAGCCTCTCATGGCACAGAGTGCGTTGCCTCCCTGCAGAGGTGAGGTTATCTTTCAGAACTCAGCTGGGAGGAAAAGTATTTTCCCTAGCCCTAAAATGGAATTAAAAGCCATACTTTCAAACTACTTGCTTTTCTTAAAGTTACATTGTTCTTGTATAGTTCTGGTTTGTATTATCAGTATTATATGCTTGTGATTTAGAGTCAAGTAGTTAAGACAACACTTTTCAAGGAAAAACTTTTTCAACATTAAACTGCTCTCCTGCTTCCATTACCCACATTAGTTCCTTATCTCTGAAAAACATTTATATGTTGCTAATTCTGGGTTTTTCAGACTTGAGGTGCTACCTGTTGGCTCTGATCTCCCGAAGGTGAAGCTACAGTACACAGATCACACATATACACACCCACCCTTCCTTTCTCCCAGTTCCGCAATGTGATAAATCTTAAAACTGGTCAGGTGGTATTCATCATTTTAACCAAGTAAATAAAATTGACAGGTAAGCTATGTAGTAGTAGGTGGCTTTCTTCCTTTGTCACCATTTTTTTTCCCTCTGGAGTTAGTAATTCTTCCTTTGTTTGCTTAGTTTTCTATTTTTTCTCACCTAATTCACCCCAGACTATTCTAGTTGTGCAGGTTTTCTTAGTACTTTCAGACACATTAGGTACTCTTTTGAGTCTTGAAGACATAAATACTTTTACAAAGCAGGTCTTCTGACCTGCTTCAGCCTGGACTGATTGCTGTGTACACCTGATGCACCGAAATCATCTTGAGATCTTCATTCATCCTCTTTCAGCTTCGTTCCACCTCTACTGTAACAGAACCCGTACTTTTCCTCTTTCTCCAGTCACTCCCTCGCTTTGGTGAAGCACATTTTCTTGAGGCGTGGGAGGTAAAGACCTTCCACGTTTGGAAAAGTTTTCATTTTCTCCCACCTGATCAGTTGGTTGAATACAGAGTCCCAGGTTGAAAACCATTTTTTCTTAGAACTTTGAAAGTGTTTTTCTCTTATGTTAAAGGTTCTAATGTTACTAGAAGCCCAGTACCATTCTTTTTTTTTTTTTTTTTTTTTTTTAATTTATCTTTAGAGGGGAAGGGAAAGAGAGAGGGAGAGAAACATCAGTATATGGTTGCCTCTCGTGCATCCCCTGCTGGGAACTGGCCTGCAACCCAGGCATGTGCCCTGACTGGGAATCGAACTGCAGTCCTTTGGTTCGCAGGCCTGCGCTCAATCCACTGAGCTATACCAGCCAGGGCAGCCCAGTACCATTCTTATTCCTGCTCCTTTACTCATTGAATTCATTCAGCATCTTTTTATTGAGCATTCGCTAGGTCTAGATGTTAGAGATACTTCAGTGAGCAAGTTTGTGGTGTTTACAGTTTAACAAAAGGTGTAGACAATAAATACCAAGGATAAAATGAGTTAGTGCGTAGTATTTAAGTGATAAGAATTATGAGGGGAGGGATAGAAGTAGAAGGGCCAGTGGTGTGCTGCTTGCCAGTTTAAATAGGACCAAGAATCAGTGTTCATGAAAAGAGTTTGGCTTTTTTTTTCCAGGAAATGTGGAGTCTCTTCAAGGGTTCTAATCAGAGAACTAAAAAACAAGTAATGAATTCCTTGCCATCATTTTCCCTGTTCTTTCTCCAGAATCATATTATTTAGTGTTGGACCAGATTCTAAACTGGGTGCTCATATAGTCTTATTTTTCTGTTTACTGGGACATTTTCTCATTTTTATAACCTAATGTTTTTTTCCCTCTTTCTTACATGGTCCATTCCATCAGATGTTTGTTCTCTCTTTTTCCCCCAGTCTATTTTGGACTATGTTTTGGGAGGTTTTCTCAGAATCTCATGATCTTTAGCTTTAGCTGCCCGCTCTTACTTGAAAGTGAGCATGAGGAAACAGCCCTTTGGAAGTTCTGCCGAGATAAAACTTATTCTCTGGCCTCTACTATTGAAAATCTTCACTGTCATTATTTTTTAGTGCTTCTGCTCTTAGGCTGGTCACATTGCCCAGATAAAATTCTTCTAAGTTCCTCTCTGAAGGATGTCAGTCAGCCTGGCCACCAGTGTTCTGGGAAACACCCCCATAAAGTACAGCTGCCTTCAGCTGGGAATGCACTGCCCCCACGCCCACCGTGCAGTCCAGTCTAAAGACACACTTTTGTTTCAGTCTTCAGATACGCTGCAGTCCTGAGTGCTCCCTCAACAGACTTCCAGCCAGACTGCCTGGGTTTTCCATCCCTTTACTGATACACCGTATATCTCAGCATCAGTTCCTGAGCATCTGCAAGGTTCTACCTTATAAGTCCGGGTACTTGGCTTACCCCACAGCCAGCTTAGAGTCCTCCTTTCTCAGGTCTCTTACATTACTTACCACCCTTCAGCCTACTTTCCTGCTTCCAGCTTGTCACATTTCACCCATTCATGGAGGCTCTGGGCCCTTTTGAAAAGCCCTTTGCTATCATCTTTGTAGGATCTGCAGGGAAAGCAGTTAGCAGTAGGTGTTTCTCTCTGTCATCCAGGTGTCCACTGTTAGCATGTCTCACAGTAATTGGGCTGCAAAGCCTCAGTTACCTTACCTACAAAAGGAAAGACATACCAAAAAGTTCTAAAGTTCTTCCGTCTCTGGCGTTTTATGACTCTGTGGTGCTTCTTACTGAGTTAAAGCAGTTCCTCCTCTTTATTGAAGTACTGTCCTTCTGTCTTACATCCTTACAGCTACTAGCAGAAGAAAGTCTTCCGACAACCCCATTTTATTTCATACTGGGAAAGCACAGACAACAGCAAGATGAAAAATCAAAAGAAACTTTGGAAAATGAACTGGTGCAGCTACCCTTAACAGAAAACATACCTGCCATTAGTGAGGTGAGTAAATTACTAAAGCAAGAAATGTGAAACAGGTTAAATGCACTAAAGGGCCATAAATCTGACTTTTATACAATCTGTAACAAATAACTTGAGTAATGATTTGTATGCTGTATAACTTAATACCCAAACCAAATAGCATACACTTGGGATTTCAGATTAAACTTTAGGTGAGGAAGTTGTTTATATAAATGTAGGTAAGAATAGATTTTTCTTGGTTTGCTTTTTCCGTGGGGAAAGCCTATTGTATTTGGCTTTTGGCATTTAATCTTTTTAGATGAAACCCTGTTTTTCTGTTTTTCCTCTAGCTGCTTCACACTCCAGCCCACGTGCTGCCGTCTGCTGCTTTCCTGTGCTCCATGTTTGTGAACTCACTGCTGCTCTCTACAGAGACCAAGAGGTAATGCAGTTCTTAACGTGTGCTCATCCTGTCGTGGGAAACAGGATGGCTTTTGTTGCCCTTTTTTAGAATATTCTTCCCCTGTATTTATTTTATTTTAGACTTAACATGTAGTTAAAGGACATAGGTTTATTAAGTCAAGTAAATAAAATACATGGAAAATAAGTGTTAGAAAAGATCCTCTGTAGATTTTAAGGATGTGATATTTAAGTCAGAGTTATACTTTTTGTAAATTTTGTAAATTCACCTGTCCTTTTATAATAGCCCCATAATTTTTAAACTGCATGCAATAACAAAATTATTTATTTTGTCTGTATGATTTCTACATAGATTTTAAATTTGAAAGGTATATTTAGAAATATATTTAATATTAAGTTTATATTTTATTCTATTACTGTTAAGTGCTAAAGAAATTCCTGATGATGCAGATATGGAGGAAGAAAAAGAAAGTCACAGTTCCGATGAAGAAAAGGATTCCACTGAAAAGGTCGAGGATGTAAATAACACAGATTTGGGAGAAGACATTGTACATCAGTTGTCAAAATCAGAAGAAAAGGAACTGAGAAAATTGAGGAAAGTAGATTACAGCTGGATAACTGCTCTGTGAACCTTGGAGGTGAGGGAGGGTTCTTGCACTTTTTTTACGTGTTGATACTCCAGAAACATCTGTTTTAATGTTATTTCTGTTTTTAAAATAAAAGTTGATAGGCCTTACTTTTTAAATAACTGGTGTATTTGCATCATGCTTTCTGGTTACCGGCTCCATTCGTGTGGACATCTCATTTTGTTGTTGTTCTTGTTGAAACTGTTTTATTAAGCATGACAAAAAATTCATTTGGGACCAGTGTGATCCAAACTAACAGGAGGTTTTTATGGTGCTGATCCGCCTCCCTTGGTGTATTCATTTCTTTTGAGAAATTTAGAGAAGTGATTTCATTACATGGTACTGCACAGGCCCACTGAGGGAATTGTGTAGTAATATGGGTTGCCTAAAAATCTGAAAAATTCTGAATTCAAATCATCTGGCCTTAAGCCTTTCAGATAAGGTATTATCCACTGTACTTTTAAAAACAAATTTCGTGACGCACTTGGAAGATAAGATATAGTGGTGTTACTCTGTCAGCGTTGTGTCTGTGAGTACAGGCATACCTCCTAGACACTGCAGGTTCGCTTCCAGACCATCACAGTAAAATGAGTATTGCAGTAAGGCCGGTAGTAATCTTTTTGCTGGTGGAAGGTTTTGCTTTCAATTTGTAGAAAACACAGTATCTGTGAAGTACAATAAAACGAGTTATCTTGTTCTGAGTCAAGAACAACTACTGTTTAGCCAAAGTCCCATTGCTAATGGAAAAGATTCCATCTCTACATATGTAAAAGTGTTAAAATTGCTACATTTTAACCCTTAGCATTTGGAGTTTTTCCGTCCCCTGATAAGACTTCTATAAAAATTACAGAAAAAGGTTAACATACGGAGGTGGAATGGGTAAATTCTGGAGTCACCTCCCATAAACACATCAGCATTACAACTAAATTATAGAACAGCCATCGCTGAGAACCACCTGAATGACTAGCTGCACATCATTCCTATAATTAAGGGTGTAAAGAAGTCGCATTGAGACAGGTGGGAGGAGCAGAGGAGACATGCTCCAGGCAGGTCCCACACCCACAGTGTGGTAATTAACAAACAGGAGGGATAACTTGGCTGCCCAACTACCCCTGAAAATCGTTAGGGGTCCCGGTGTGGGGCACCTATGTCAGGAAAAAAATTCCCCATAGCATCCAGTCTTTAAAACCAGCAGCGATTACATTCAAGAAAGACAAAGGGGGATTCTTAGATAAACTCACTTGATCCAGCACAGAGACAACAGCTCCAAAAGCACCTGGGTCATACACAGAAGAATTAAATTGATTAGCTCAAGGGTGAAGACAAGGGGTGGGGAACAGGGGAGCTCTCAGGACTCAAGCACTGGTAAGTATCACTATTTTGGTGAGCTCTCCTCCCACCTAGTTCACCTGATAGAGACAAGCATAAAGTCTGTTCTCCATTAACCCAGCTAACTGCTTGTCCTGCCCCACCTGGCCAGAGCCTCTTGCACTGTCTCCAGATCCTACACACAAGTGTCAGCCAGCCTCAGAGTGTACTGCAGTCTCCATAACCTCACAGGGCCAGCCTGTGACCCTAAGCCTGGTACAAGTGTCATCCAGTCTTGGCTTGCAATTTAGCTCCTACCAAGCAGCCCCAAACCCAGCACAAACTGCAATCTCTGTCACTGCATTGCAGCTCCTACCAAGCAACCTCAAACCTGAAAAACCAGCCTCAGGCCACACCAGAGCCCCACGCACACAGCTCCACAACCAATACACCAAACAGGCAGCATTGGCTGGCACCAGCATCCTATTTTGTGCCACTCATTCCCTGGGGTCACCCCCACCTGTACAACAGCTCAGTGCACTAGCCACAAAATAAGTCTCCATGTTTTTAAGAATGAAATTACACCAAACATCCTCTCCAATCACGACAGAAACTAGAAATCAATTGCGAGAAGAAAACTAAAAAAGACCAACATATGGAGGCTAAACAACATACTAGTAAGCAATGAGTTAATGAAGTCAAAAGATGATAATGAAAATAATACAATGACCAAAACCTATAGGACACAACAAAAGCAGTTCTAAGAGAGAAATGCATAGCAATACAGGCTTCCCTCAAGAAACAAGAAATGTCACACAACCTAACCTTACAGCTAAGGAGCTAGAAAGAAAGGAGCCTAAATTAGTAGAAATAAAGATCAGAGTGGAAGTAAATAAAGACAAAAAATAGAGAAGAGCAGTGAAACTAATAGCTGGTTCCTTGAAAAGATAAAATCAGTAAACCTATATCCAGAATCAAGTAAAATTAATGAAATTGGAAATGAAAGCAAAGTGACACCAACCACAGAAATACAAAGGACTATAAGAAGTTACCTACAGATGATTTGGACAACCTGGGAGAAATGGATAAATACCTAGAAACACATTTCTCCAAAACTGAATCAGGAAAACAACAGAAAATCTGAACAGATTACTAATAACAAAACAAATAGTTCACAAAACTTCACAACAAAAGTTCTGACCCAGACAACTTCACAGGTGAATTCTAACAAACATTCAAAAAATTAATTCCTATACTTCCCAAACTATTCCAAAAAATTGAAGAGGGGAATCTCCCAAATTCATCCTATGAGGTCATAATTTCCCTGATATCAAAACCAGACAAAGACACTATAAAATATGTCTGTGTATACAAACATACACATACTAATATTCCTGATGAACATAAGTGTAAAATTTCTCAACAAAGTATTAGCAAACCAAATTATTCAGCAACACCTTGAAAAGATCATACACCTGATCAAGAGGGGTTCATTCCAGGGACGCAGGTTTGGTTCCATATCCACAAATCAACATGATATGCCATATTAATATTAACATTAACAAAAATTACCATATTTTGATGTTGATAATGCATACTTTGCCCAAATTTTTTTAGGGAAAAATAAGGATGCACATTATACATGGATATAATGATTACATACCATGGGTATAATAATCTCGTGTATAGTGTGTACAAGAATGCGGGTTCTCATTATACACAGCAAAATATGGTATATGATTTTATCAAATACAGAAAAAGCATTTGACAAAGTTTAATATTAATTTATGATTTTTTTAAAACTCAGCAAAGTGGGAATAGAGGGAACATACCTCAACATAATATAGGCCATATACAACAACTCACGGCTAACATCATAGTGATGAAAAGCTATATGCTCGTTCTCTAAGATCAGGAATAAGAAGGCCCAGTCTCACCATTTTTCAACATTGTCCTGGAAAGAAGAATAGCAACAGCAATCAGACAAGAATAAGAAGTAAAAGGCCCCTGGCTGGTGTGGCTCAGTGGATTAAGTGCTGGCCTGCAAATTAAAGGGTCCCCAGTTCAATTTCCAATCTAGGGCACATGCCTGGGTTGTGGGCCAGGTCCCTGGTAAGGGGCACGTGAGAAGCAACCACGCATTGATATTTCTCTCCTTCTCTTCCTCTCTTCCCCTCCAAAAGTAAATAAAAATTTTTTAAAGAAAAGGTATTTAAATTGGAAAGGAAGAAATAAAATTCTCACTATTTGCAGATAACATCATACTATATATAGAAAATCTGAAGGAATCCACTGAAAAAAAACTATCAGAGCTAATAAATAAATTCACTAAAATTATAGGACACAAATATTCAGAAAATTGGTTGTATTCTTATAATGAACTATCAGAAACAGAAATTAAG